AAAAGACAGAGATTCTTGGTCTTCTGACACAGGGCTCAACACCAGGGGAGAGCTCATTCTTATACAAAGCCATGTCAGCACCCAAGTCCCTGCATGCACATAAAGGCTCACAGCACACCCACATTCAGATCCAAATCTCATGTGCTCAATGCCAAAGAGTGCCACATTCAGCACAGCCCCAACAGCAGACTGCACACCTGACAATTCTCATCTGAGGAGGAATGGGAAGTATGGTGGGTACACAGCTGATAACACAGGATCCTGAGAAAGGGGTGATGTGTCTTTCTTGGGGCTTTGGAAAGTGCTCCTGGGCAAGCAGGAGGGAAAAATGGTGAAGACTTACATCTTCTCCTAGCTCCTACTGTGACATTTCAGTTTAACTGAATTTAAAATGAATGCTCCTAATTATGCCCCAGAGCCAAAGCACCTCTGTAACCACCAGCTGCCTCTCTTACATCCTTCCCTTTAGGTGTCCCACACTTAATAAGTGACAGCATTCTGCCTCCCACTGTGCTTGGCAGCATAGATTGACATGTTCAGGTTGTATAAGAATAACTTAATTTTTTAGATATTGCTTCGGGAATGAACACCTTTTCCTCCTTTGGCCATAGATCCATTTTGGCTAAAGGCAAAGCTGTCTGGAGAGTCCTTGGGGGACAGTGACCAGCAGGGCCTTAGTCTCAGAAGCATTTGCTGAGAATGTGAATGAAGGCAGGTGTAAGGGGGTCACAGGGATCCTCTGTGGGGCTTTTCTCTGCACACACTTTCTTTCCTCCTGACCCTCTCTAGGTCATCTTTGCTTTACACAGTGTAGATGAGGGTTAAATATAAAGTACCCCTTCTACAAAGTCCCCAGGGTAAAGAAGAAGCCATCTGTTTTTCAGTCCCTCTAAGGCAATGTCACCCCAGTACCACAAGTTAATAGAATATCTGGGCAAACTCCACCACAAGTGTTTACTTGATTGGCCCAGGAGCCTGGCTTATCAAGACTGGCTCAGAGAGCTCCACAGTGGTCCACACACCCTCTCATTAACAAGAGGATCAGGTCATTCATGCAGGAGTAGTGGCCCCATCCTCAGAAAGCTGAATTCCCTGACTCTAATAAAGGAGAAACCAAGACACAGCAGTCTCACATCAAAGATGAGGAGGAGGTCCAATGCTGATGCTTTCCTGGGAAACCAATACTTTTCTCTGGACCTGTTCTGCCTGAAATCATCCCTAGCGGCCTCCAGCAGCTAAACTTACATAGCACATTTGATCTTAAGAACAACTGTGTGAGGCAGGCAGGCCAAAGGAAGAGGCCCAAGAGGAGCTCAGAGTTAATGCAGCTGAGGTTGACAAAGAAGAGCTTTGAGGCCACTCTGAAGTTACCAGCAAGGCCCAGCACGCAGATACTTCACTCTGTGTAGCCAAGATGAGGTGAAAGGTCCCAGCCATCTCCTAGTCTTACTGGAAGAATGAAAACCCAGAGTTTTGAGACTTCTTGCTTGAGGATATTTAGTAATACCTTCTCCGATATTCCAAAGGTAAAGAGAATACATTTTGTTATGAAATTTGCACTAGATGTAACAAATAAGACCCTAAACATATGATATTTGACACCCTAAGTCTATTGCTTACTCACATCAAAGGCAAAATTATATTCCTAACTTGTGAAGAGTGTTCCTTTAAGCAATAATTAGGGCTTCCCACATCCTGTAGCTACATCATTGAATATACACATGCAAATGAAGGAAGAGGAGTGCACTCAGGAATCACACAGGGGAGGGTGAGAGTGTTTCTGTACCAGGGTTGGAGCTGGTGCAGTCACTTTCACTCATCATTCAGGTCACTCCCTGCTACAAGGGTAGCTGGGAGATAGATTCTGGACTTGAGCCCAGGAAAAAGAAGTGATGGCTTTAATTTGTTAACTGCTTACTGAACCACATATGGTCAGAATGATTTTCAGTGTAGGTGGATATTTCATACGATCATGGCTGGATGTGATGGTGCACACTTGAAAAACAGCATCTGAGGAGGCTAAGGCAGGTTGATGGAAGTTCAAGGCCAGTCTCAGCAACACAAAGAGGCCCTAAGCAACTTAGTGAGACTCTGTCTCAAAATAAAAAATAAAAATTGCTGGGGATGTGGCTCCATAGTATAGTTCTCCTGGGATCAATCCCTGGTTTTATATACATACATTATATATATATATAATCCTTCTTTCCTTGATGACTTTATAGACAAACTTCATTTCTTTTTCCCTACTCAGTTAAACCTGAGGCTCCTTTTGACATAAAAGTCATCTATCGTGAGGAAGCCAATGACTTTGTGGTGACTTTTCATACATCACACTTGAAGAAGAAGTATGTAAAGCAATTAATGCATGACATAGCCTACCGCCAGGAAAAAGATAAAAAGGATTGGATGGTATGTAGATCAATCATGTTTCATAGTAAAAACTTTTAAATGTTATATAAGTTATTGTCGTAGAAGTACATTTGCTCCAGAAAGTCTTAATAATTTTGTTTTCAGAATATACCCTTTACCAAAAGAAGCTCCCAATATTGGGTCAGCTTTGGGCCCCATATGCATGCACCTTTCCTAGCCTGTCCTTGTCTTGCTCTGATTTTCCCCCTTACTCTATTTTTGTCTTTATAATGTTTCTAATTCAGTTAGATAGTCACATAAATGGAGACCAAATGGATCCTCACAATGCAAAGGCCTCAAAAAGTGCCATGCCTAGTACCACACTCTTAAGCAAAACACTCTTTGAATAGTTAGCAAGAAGATGTGACCACCATTTGATTTGAGAATTTGGGGGAGCATGATGAGGTAAGGAGAAGAAGGGCAGATTCATCTCTGTTTTCTTTTTATTTTCAAGTCTGAGGTCTTAGTCATTGAACTTAGTATTCATTCTTTATTATCTGGATGGTTATTTAGCCTCTTTCTTCATGGTTTTCTGAGGTTGGACTATCTGGGTGTATTGTAAGGAAGTGGAAGAAGTGTAGAAGATTCCAGGTATTAGGTTCATCTTAAAGCACTACCTAAGGATGCCTTCTCTTTCTGGGGACTGAAAGAATGCCTACTTACTGCCACTGCCCTCCTTGCTCAGGCCAGGATCACCCTTGTTTGTTTGCAGTATGCAAATAACATTGCACAAACATACTCCCTGCCCCAAACACTGGCTCCCTTCTTTTATTCACCCCATACACACATGGAGAGAGACTGAATGACATTAATCCTACTGTTTTCCATTATTCATCTAAAAATCGTACAAATGGAAAACAAATATTGGGGGAAAGGAAGAATTTTGAATAATGCTTCCAAGACTATCAGTTTGCTGTCTGGGGAAAAAAATAAATCAGAAGTCTACCCTCCATCATACACTTATCTATGTAAACACACAATAATAAAAATTACAAGGCAATTTAAAACTTAGGATTATATTGCCACATCTACAGCTGATGGATCACTAAAATCTATATAAAGAGCTCTTATAAATCATTAAGAGATAAATATCACCATAGAACAATGAATAAAAAATTTGAAAAAATTGCCTATATAAGAAATATGTAAATTTAGTAAATATACTAAAACTAATCCAACATATGTAAATGTAAATAACAATGAAATAAGATTTTCAATCAAATTTTTCCTTTCCTTTATTTTTCCTTGCTTAAGGATAATACACAGTGTTTGGGGAGACAATTGCCTCTGTATTGCTATTCAAGATGTAAAATCATCTTTCTGGAAGGATATTATCTTGCTCACTAAACTATGCTGTTCTCTCCCCTTGCCACATGAAAGGGGAAAGAAAGAAAAAGAAGATACTGAATTGTGAGGAGGAACTGGGAGCCTGGGACAGACCTACCTCTTCCCAAGCTTGGAGACATCACCACCTGTATAAAGACCTATTCTATCACTGTTCTCTTTGGCCGCTCATGCATCATTTATGAGCTCACACTCTCTGTCCCTAATTCTGCTGCTGAGCCCTCTATGTATTTAAGCTCCTTAGTCTGACAAATATGAGAGAACTTCAAGAGGGTGCCTGTGTGACTCAAGGAGTTGAACTTGAAGTAATTTGAAAGATCTAGGCAACACTTCATTTTCCATCCTAAAAATATATTGGCACATTTTTCTCCTTAGCACGTGAATTTATCCAACACAAAGCTGACTCTCCTGCAGAGAAAACTGCAACCTGATGCAATGTATGAGATTAAAGTCCTATCCATCCTGTATAGTGAATATTATGAGGGTTTCTGGAGTGAATGGAGTCCAAGTTCCCACTTCAGAACTCCATGCAGGTGAGGATGACTGTAAGGAGTCCTTGTCCCCTACAATGCTTTGTGTGTCAAAGTGTGGGCAAGAAAGTGAGATGGAGTTAGTGCAGATAACCACAGGTTAAGACTCCACCCAGAGGGTGTGTTTCCACTTTCTTTGTCCCTTCTATGAAGAATAAGGGAACAGGGGAAACTGGATCTTTAGTAGCTCAGAAATGGTACAGCTTGTCTTAATGCTACTGCCTTGGGCGTTTCTGCTAACTCCTGATATTTCTCAACAAAATACCTACTTACCACCTCCCATTTACCATTTTTGACTGGGATTTCAATGCCTGGTCTCTCTAAGACCCCTCTAGGGAAAACTTTCTCTAAGGTAGGTAGGAAGGACAGTTAAGTTGTCTCAGGTCTCCTTTCCCAGAATAACACAGTTGTCCTTGGGGTGTAGGAGGTAATATGGATCAGAAGAGTCAGAGAACATGACTTGGGAATGTGCTCAAAGCACCAATGTAGACCTTTCATTTGGGAGATTGGGGAAGCTATGCTACTAAAACACTCTTAGGCACACTGGAACTCAATTAGTCTAGCTTGATCCTTCCTATGCTGCACCCTAAGTGACATCTCTTGTCTTCCAGGACCCTGATGCTCTAGGAACACCATGGGGACGGCCACATCCCAGCATGCAGGTAATAAGTGAAGCCTGGTATTCTAGCATCCCCCAAGCCTACCTTGGGACTTGCTCCCTCTCCTCTCACAGTGCAGCAAGATGAGGGCTCCATCTTATAAGTGCTTGTCAACATTCAAGGCTGTTCTCTGTGACCCCTTTTTCCCTCTCCCTCCTCAGTTCAGGAATACACACATGCACTTGCACGGGATGTCTTGCCTCAAACACAGTTGCCCTTGGGGTGTAGGAGGTAATATTGAAAGTTCTAAACTTTCTTTTCTTTAGAGTGTGTGGCTTCTGAACTTGAAATCCATGAATTTAAATTGCTTTCTAATATGAACATATTAGAAAGCTGTGGATACCTGGTTGGAGAAGACCAGGGTGTAAAAGTCAATGTGAAGAGGGGAACACATGGTACAATATCTTATAATGTCACTTGTCATATTTGTTATGCTCTTGATGAAAAATCAGACAGTAAAGAAACTTACATGCACTAAATCCCTGTGTAATGGACACTGAGCCATGTACTTTAATTGCAGAATATCCAGCCAAATTAAATATTCCCCACCCACTCCCCTTTTGCAGACCAAAAAAAATGCAGATAAGAGGCACTGGCAATCCCAAAAATCCAAAGACATAATGTTCTCTCTGATTTCTGGATGCTAATTCACAATAGATTGAGGGGGTGGAGGGTGGAGGTTCACTGGATTGGGCAGGAAGGAGTGGGGAGCAGCAAGGGGATTGGAAATAGAAAAGACAGTCCGAGTGAATTGGGAATAACTCTCCTATATTCATATATGAATACACTACCTATGTAACTCCACATTATGTACAAGCACAAGAATGGGAAGATATACTCCATGTATGTATGATATGATTCCAGGACCATGCCTCATTCCTTAAAATTCAAAGCATTTAGAACTTACTTATTTTCCACACAAGATCCTACATAGATTACTATGATAAATAACAAATTTAAGAACTGACCATCCTCCTGGCTCAGAGTACTTCCATACTGATTTCCTCAGTCCCTCAAGTGCAAATCCATGGTGGAGATAAGGACAAGGGAGGGTTTCCTCTGCCAAGGCCTCATTCCTGGATCACTAAATCAGGAACCATAGGGGTGAAGGGGGGTGAAGAGAAGACAAGCAGACACACGTAGAGAAAAAGTGGAGCCAGGTGGGTAGCCAAGCCCTGGTGAAGCTTAACTGACTCCAGAGCTAGATCAGCCCATTAATTATATAGGTTTTTCACCAGAAAGTTGTTTGTGAGAGGGCTGAGGCTGTGCACAGTGGCAAAGCGCTTGCTGAGCATGCGTGAGGCCCTGGGTTTGATCCCCAGGACCACATACAAATAAACAAATAAATAAAGGTATTGTGTCCACCTACAACTAAAATATATTTAAAAAGAAAGAAAGAAAGAAAAATAATAGCTATTTTTTTTTAAAAAAAGAGTTGTTTGTGAGAAAGTTTTAGCAAAGCAGGCCAACTGAAAGATGCAGTGAAAGATAACCTTGAGACATCTTGTTGTCCCCAGAATACCCTATCCCTGGAGTTGGTTCCTGAATCCAAGGTTCTGACTATTAGAGCCAGGAGCCTTCCTCAATAGTAACTCTTGGCTGGTATTGTCATAGCAACTGCAGCATCTTGACAAGTACCCTCAGAAAGGCAGCCCCCGGGGCAAAAACAGCCACAAGGGAATCAGAGGGCAGGGTTGCAGTCACTGCTCTCCACATTTCTCTTCTTCATTCCCAGCAGCATCTGAATGTCCAAGGCTGCACCTTTCTTCTCTGGGACTTAGAAATTACCTGAAACTTTGTTGGGGGAGGAGTCATATTGAAAGATTGCATACTTATACTTTTGAGAGTATAAAAAAATAAAACAATCTTTTCCCCTTACATATTACTTAGAGTTTCAGGAGACTCACAGATTACCCAATTTGGGATATTGGTTTTAGAGTTTTGATGATCTTGAAAACATCCTGGGATCAGAGATCTGAGATCAGGAAAAATGGCTATAATATAAATATGAATAATCTTACCTTCTCACTGGCCAAGTGCAAGCTCCATCCTAACCAGATCTAGGTTCACTCATCCCTAAATCCCAAGGTCAAATGTCTCCTCCATCCTTCCACAATTGAAGGCAGCTACTGCTGCCTGTGGTGTCCACAAAACTCATACGTACATCACCCCTGAGAGTACAGTTCTTGCATAGGTTGTTCTCCCAACACACACTCTCCCCTCCTTCCTCTAAGTAATAGAACTCAGCCTTAGTTGGGCACATAGCAACTCCTCTTCGATGGCATTTACCTTCCTACCTTGAAGCTAAAGTGGCCATGGGGTTTCTGTCCATTAGGTCATGAGTCAGAAGTAACTCCCAATCATCTCCATAAAAGAAAAGTTGGCTTCTCCCCAGTTTCTCCCTTGACATACTTCCCACTGACTGGAATAGGATCATGGTGCTCCTAAATCAAACTCAAGACATGAGCAGTTGCCCAGGAAATGAAAGAGACTGGGTTTCTGAATGAAGGCACTACCTTAGAGCTGTCTTTCTTCCCTGGATCATATACTATGAAAAACCAATACATTTGCATCTTTTTGAAAGCCACTGTTCTGTGTCTCCTTGTTTCAACAGCAGAGCCCAGGTAGTACATGCAACAGCAACAAAAGGCTGCATTGAACCCCAAAGGTTCCTAAGGCTGACAATAAAATAAAATCATAAAGGTTCACATGAGGAAAACAAAAGTCAACGATACTCTACCATTTTCTTGGACCAGTTCTCACAGTGACAATTGTATATAACAACATAACAAAGGTGGATATATTATAACATCAGACAGACCCCTTGCTCTTTCTGTTTTAGAGTCATATGCTGAATCTCTGTGGCAATTTCATGAAGAGTATCACTCAGGGTCGCTTCAAATCTTGACTTTGCATAGTTTGTTCAGGAAAATATAGAACAGTAGAGCTTATTGATGGGACCTTCAGTGGCACATAGGTCTTGGGTTCCAAAAGGACAAGAGGAGGTTTGAAGTTGAAGTGAGGCCTCTGCTGATGTTCCCAGGGGTCTGGGCTGGGATATGGCTGGTAGAGTGTGGATTTCAGCTGCAGTCTCTCAGAACAGACTGTAAAGACAGGTAAGAGACTCTGAGGAGAGGAATAGGCCTGGGCATAGCAGGTAGTCACTTTGTCCAGACTTCCCCCAAACCACTGGGGGCCTGGGGGCCTGGGGGCCTGGGGGCCTGACACCAGGCATATTCCAGGGCTTGAGTCTGAGCTGGGAGAAGCTCAGAATCACAGAAGCACCCAGAGTCAGCTTTGCCAACAGGCACATCACTCTCCCCAAGGATCAATGTGTGTTGTTCAAACCTTTATCAAAAGTTGGGCATGTTCTGAAATCAAAGCACTCACTTTCTCATAGCACATCAAAGAGGACAAGGTTGGTGCTCAAACATTCCATTCTTGTTGCATCAGAGATCGAGGCTGAAATCTTGTAAAAGCAAAACAACTGTGACATTTCAAAATCTGCCCAGAAAGAACACAGACTACACCAAGACATAGGACTGAAGAGCTGGGGTGAGGAGGAAAGGGAAATGAAAGAAGAGCCACAACAAGGAACATATTGTGCTCCTGGAGATGAAACATCACAATGCTGGGACTCCCCCTTGAGCCCTAGAGACTGACTCAGCACCTATTGATAAAATGCTGAAGACATTAATGTAGGACCAGAACTGCAGGAGGTTTCCCTACAACCATCCTCACCTACTCAGTGCCTGGGGTGCTTTTCTCTTTTTCCTTAGCTCTGGATTGACACCATTCACTGCGGTGAGCAGGCCTCCCAACCTCCAGGAAGATGGAGGCCAAAAATTGTTTTTCATCTTAAGAATACAATTGCTTAATTAAAGAAGGTAAGTTGACTGCAGCAAGGAGTAGTCAAGACAGATTCTGAAGACTGGGTATTGGAAATTTTTGTGTATTTTTCATGTATCAGGTTTTTTCCAGAATATTCCTATTGCAATAGGCTGCTGCTGTGTGTCACTGTTCTGTCCTTCAATACACAAGCACAGGGCGAGTGGCTTTTCAATACTCTTGTTCTGGACCAACTACTAAATGTGTAAGGGCTATGTAATAAACTTCATTTAAAAACTGACTCAGAACTTCTTTTGCTCTGGAAATAGTTTGTTTCCCATGAGTGCTGAAAGAGAGAATGCTCTGGTATCTATCTTACTCGATTTATAATTTCTGTAAAGGATAGAAATGAAATTTCTGTTCCTAAGAGATGTGTCCAAGTAGTAAAAATGAGTAAGTAAGTAAGTAAGTAAGAAGTTAAGACATTCAGCCTGAATTTACCCAGGAAAACTTCTGCCCTTTCTGTTTGGCAAAAAGATGGAAGGCTTGTATCTTTCTGGACTGGGCTTTAATAGAGTTAAAACAAACCACAATCAAATAAAGAATTCACACAGTCTTCTCATTTTAACACTACAGGATCTGAAATCTCACTAATAGGTTAGATTTTCAAACTCTTTTGGTCTCTACCAGCTATACAGGAGCATCATGTAGTCTTTTACAATATGAAAATAAAAGAAAATCTTTTTTATGTGCTTTGTCTATTTCACAAATGGCCTGGATAATCACTGGGGTGAGCGGGGAAGAAGGCAGGGGAGACTTGGAGCAATAGGGGTCTGAGCTCGAAATCAGGGTGTTCTGCTTGCAGATGAGAAACAAGAAAATTGAGTGTTTTTCAATGATTCACCACATCATAGGAACTCATGAGAGTGAAGAAGACAATGTACAACAGAAGGAAGAGGAAAGGTAGAGATAAAAGGAAGTCTTGAGAGAAGAGCACAACCCGGGTGAAGTCAGATGGTCCCAGAAACTGCCATGCGGGGACTTGCTTCACTCATGGTCAGATATGCGCCTCCTGACCTCAGGCTGGGATGCTCAGGTGCTCTGCAGGCTCTTCCTAACTTTCCTTTCTTCTCTCTGTTTGTTCTTGTCCGACAAACAATAATGACAATGCCATATATGAAATGTCCCTCATCTGAGGAATAGGTGGAGCAAGGTCTTCCTCAGCTTTTCCACGTTTCAAAGGACCAACAAGATGAGTGAGGAAAGAGAGAAGGCACCATTCTTGTCTGCCATCCCCCACAGTCTGATTCTAGAAGGATTGGTGACCCTTCTCATTGTCCGTGGAGCGCCACATGCTGAATTTAGGTTTCTCTCTGAGGCCCGTTCACCATCTCCCGCCCCACCCAAAGTGGGTGAGCACACCAGTGGAAATCCCCTGAGCAAACTAGCACATGCTGTACCAAAATATTGTGTCTTCACTTTGTTCTTTTACATCTTCACAACTAAAGGAAAGAGATACAATCAAAATGATAGTCCACTTAAATGATAAACAAGAGAATTTAAAGAGACATCACCCAATTATTCATCCACTAAGTGACAATCTAGGAACAATTTATGACATCTGGATTGGTGAGCAGACAGTTTGTGATGTATCCTTGAACATTCGCTTAGTTCATGAGAATTTGCAACTAGAGCTTTCTAAAGAGGGTATTCAGCTGAGTACATAACATCTACCAATATTTATGAATAAAGCTTACTTAAAATTCTTCTAACCAAATATTCTAAACAAGATTAGACATGAGGACACAAATGATTATAAAAAGCATTATCACTCTTTATTTGTTTTAGGGAAGTATTTTGAAACACCAAAAGAAGGCCCAAACAGATGGGAGAGATGGGCTATGTCCCCTTCAGCTGGATTCTTGCTCTGAAATCCCCCCTGGGTGTGGTGTCTGGAGCATGCACTAAAACTGATGCAGACCATGTGTCTCTGAGTCTGCCTCAAAACTGAAGAGGAGACTCTAGACTGATACAAACACCCCACCGCCTCTTTTCTCATTTTATTAGATTGTCACGATAACTACAATGATGAAACTGACTAAGTCATTCAGTTTTCATAAACTCTAATTGGCTTCCCACCCTGGGAGATGTTTTTAATCTCTATTAGCCATTTTTACAGGCCAATGGAACCAATCTACCAACAACAGGGAATCAAGACAGAAGTTTATAACTCAGCTTCTCTAGACTCACCATCTGACAGCCTTATAGTTTCTTTCTAAAACTGTGAAGCCCAGTTGCTTTATGAGTGAATGCAGGTTCCATGATTCCTATGAAGATATGAGCAGAAGTATGTCTTCCAGGAGTCACAGTCTGTGCTTTACAGAGAGGACTACTATCAGCCTGGTAGTAATCCTGATAATTGGCTTAAAAAAAACTATTCAACAATTACTAAGGAGTGAGCCAGACTTTACAAATACCACCACCTTAACCATGAGGCCAAACTGGGAATGATTTTGATTGACATACAAGTTTTGGGAGAATCTGAGCTAGCTATCTCATTGTCTTAGGCTGCTGCCCTGTATACATAGGTACTGGCATGGTCTGTATGTACTCTACATTCCTGAGATGTAGTGTGGAAATCAGATTTTTCCAAATAGAACCCCATTTAAATACACTAAGAAAGTAACAATTTTGTCTTTTTAATGAGACTGGCAGACTTTCCATAAACAGTCATATGGAAAAGATTTTACTATATCATAGAGTCTCTGTCTTGTCTCCTCAACTCAGCCCCTGTGGCAGAAAGTCAGCTATAGACATTGCACAAATGTGTTGTACCATCTTGGTATGTTATTCATGAACACAGACATTGGGCCAGATTTGGTGTTGGGCCAAAAACAGGTGTTAGGCCATAATTCACCAACATTTGCATTAAATTAATAATTATTGAATGCTTAGTATAAGGGGCAAAATATGGATAAGTACTAAGGATACACGGAGAACAAAACAGAAAATCATATTCTTGGGAAACCTAGAGGTTGGCTTTCAAAATAAAACCACAACAAATTATAAAGTGCAGAATCATTCTTTAAATCAAAACTCACCTCAAATAATCGATTGATTAGATTTGTGGGTTTAGATTTTTGGATTGTGATTCTTTTAACTGAGGATCACTTAGGTCTAGATCTCTTGAGTGTAGCTGTGAAACCTACCACCTTATTCCAAACTAAACACAGTGAGCCTGGGCCTGCAAGGAATCCAGAGAGGTGCAGTTACTTGAAATGCCCTCCCTCTTTCTCTGTTTCCTCTGTCTCTGCTATCAGCAGCTCTACTTTTACTCAGACTTCCTGTTCCTAGCATTGGACTTCTTTTATGCTGTGTTTATACTTCCCCCTGTCTGTGGTTAAGTAAGTATAGAGCTGTGGACCTCTTCAACCTCTTTCTCTCTCATTCATTTGTACACACAGCCTCACACTTCAGCTCTCTCCTCTCCTGTCTCTCAGAATGACAATTCTAAGTACAGCTCTTGGTACGGTTTTCTATTTACTTCAAGCCGTTTCTGGAGAAAGTGGCTATGCACAGAATGGTGAGTCATTTCTTACTTTTCTTTTTTCTTTTTTTTTTTTTTTTTAAGGATTTCTCATTATCTCTAGAGTATGCTTCAGGTTACTCAGTTCCCTGACAAACCTGAACTGGGCAATGGGTTGGTATGGCGCTCAAGAACTTGTTGTATGCTCTCCCACCAGTGTGGGGATGATACTGTGGGTGGCATAAAAGGCTTCAGAATTGTTAAGAAGGAATGTGTTGAATCTCAAAACACATATCTTAAATGTTGATTGATGCCATGCCTCTGTTCCTAGAACACTGCTGTAGATACTACAAGTAGGCTTGTTAAAATATCACTTAGATGATTTTAATTTGTCAGGATATTGAGCTGAATTTGTTTGGTTTTATTTTTTAAGAGTTTCCCAAAGCATAAACTTTCCTGAAATATAATATACAGAGACAATAGCTTTGTCTGCATTGACCAGTGCTATATCAACAACACCTCAGTGTCTAGAACGTAGTATTCAACCAAAAACATGGGAACATTTCCTCAAAATACTTTGGCTTGACAGATTCATTTAGATTCTTAGTGAATAACATACAGATCTGAGTGTGTTGGCTCATTGAAATACACATAATTGCCTCCATGTTCAATAATTTAATCATATGGAATAATTTTCTTTGGAATGCCAAAAGTGCTCAACACCTACAAACAGATTCTGGCTTCTTAATAAATACATTGTAATGACAACAAAAGTATAGATGGAATTGTCTACCAACAGCAGGGAACACCCAGGAACTTGGGCCACCAATTTTTTTTTTCCCAATTAAATTCTTTCACTTAAAAAGTATGTTCTGTAAGGAAAAGTATTTTCCTTAAAGACAATATCAATATATCAACCTAATGACTCAGATGTTTCTGGTCATGTTTCCTTAGTCATGCTTCCTTGGTTTAGCTATTTTGAGTCAATTTACTTAGTAATTGTCAAGGATGGAAAACCCTTGCATTTTCTCATTAAGGGAAGAGTCACAGGGGTGACATTTTCACAGTGTGACCAGTTATGAGGGATGATCATTAGCCTACACAGGATGTTCCCTTGAGTTTGCACAAGGTCCAAGGAACACTGTGGAAAACATGAAGAATTTACATGAAGACTTTGATGCAATATATTCCACTATTACATCTATATCTATGAAATTAGAAATGATTGTGGTCTAAAGTGCAAGCCTTAAATCTCTTCTTGGTGGCCATCTGTTTTCACAAAGAAATAAAAACTCTAACTTAAAGCTGAATTTTCACTTCAACTTCTTAATTTCAGATTTTTTTTAGATCTATAACCATCCAACTACATGATCATATCAAAATATTTGCCATTTTGAAATGTAAAGAATTCACAAAATAATGAGCTGTTCTTTCTTGAAAGACAAGTTAGTTTTCTGACAACCTCAAGGGTGATCAAGATACAAAAGGATACTTTTAAAAGTCCAAACCATTTAAATTGTTAATCAGCTACTTCCACTTAGTAGGAAGAAGTCTTCAAGTTTCACTACCTTGCCTATAATACATAGTCCAAAAAAGTTCACTTTTAATGCTTAGAAAACTTTAATATATATCCTTAGATACTTAAATATTTAAGTATTAATAATATTAATATTTGAGCATTAAAGGAAAATTAGATTAATTCCTTCTATTAAAGTTCTGTGTAATTTCAAAACCATAATGATAACACCACTACATGTTTTTTCAAAAGAATTTTC